ATGATCCGTATATGATCCGTATTTTGATAGATTTTTGGATTTGAACCCTGAACCGTGAGCTCGGTGGGTTGCCCTTGGTCTCGGACCAAAAGGGATTGAGGTAAGTCTTTTGGAACCATGCATATGTACTTGAAAACTTGCATGTGTTGTGTGAATGGTAATTAATTGGGAATGTCCTCTGTGTAGACATTTCTGTTGTGTACCTAGCTCGGGAAATATACTGCATTGGAGCTGTGGGAGAGGATTATACAGGTAACCTCTTGGTACTATGGTTTGATCCCCTTGTGTGTTCCACCATGCCCGTTGAGGGTAATGGTAGGAAGTGTATGTAAATAATATAGGATAACATGTTCATGCATATTGTATGTGTGGTGGTACAGAGGATGTACCGTATCTCTGGCCAGTAGACTGTTTGCCTTCGGGCGTTACGGACTTCCACTGGATAGGTCTCCGTGAGGGAGTTCCAGTTGACCTGGGGTCGTGGTGTGTGATCCGGATAGGAGCACACTAGAAAGTCTCAGGTGGATATGGATGGAGGGTGCCTTGGTTGATGTTCTGGGAACAAGCCTCGGTTTGAAACCCGTAGGCTTATATGCCGAGCCAATAGGCTGGATGTTGCGTGGTTTTGGCATTGACCGTTCTAGCTTCGTCGTATTTTGTATCCCTATGTTCCCCTATTTCACTAAATCTCTTGCTTTATCCCATTTTCAGATGTAATGTTATGTTATTCATATGCATCGAAGTGAGCCATTGAACAGAGTATTCTTCAGAACCTCTGGGTTACCACACACACACACACACACACATATATATACACACACATACCGGAGAAAGAAAAGGAAACAGAAAAAAGAGAAGAAACTGAGGAAAGAAAAGAAAAGAGAAAGAGAAAGTGCATGAAAGCGAGGGAAGAAGAAAAGAATAAAAGAAATGAAAGGAAAAAGAAGAAAATGGGAGATAAAAGAAGGTAATATTGAGAGATAACACATTCTCTCATTATTTTTCTTTTCTGTAATTCTTTTAAAAGTTGATTTTGTTGTTACTCTGTCAAAATCTTTTCTTTAGGTTTTTCTTTTATTTGTTTATATTTTTAACTTCAGTTTTATCTTAAATTAAATTTTAATTCATAATTGCAGTAGAATGATGGGTTCTTTGGTAAATGAATGCTAGTAGAACGTGAATGATTCTAATGTGAATTAACCCACAAAGGTTTAGGATCAGACAATAAGAAGGTAAGTGACACCTTACATGGCTTGAACTCTGACAAACAGAACTTTTCATATACATAACCCACAAAGGTTTGGCCTCCCACGAAGGTTTGGATTTTAATCATTTAGTTAAAGACTACACGTTCTTTTCTATACTTGTATGCAGAAACCCACAAAAGTCTAGGCCATATTAGTTTAGTTAAAAGTTGCATATTATCTTCTATGTTTATTATTCCTGATGTTATATTCTATGTTAATACTTCAGTTCTTATTTTCATATTATGAACATACTTTGAGAGAATGATATTTTCTGTTAAAGCGATTGTACTGGTTATAGTTTGAAAATACCAATATTACTGAGATTTATCTAACATGTGTTTGTTTTTATGTTAACTTTTCCAGAAAGCAAGCATGCCAGTATACAATGTTGTCAAATCGAGTTTCTATGTAGAAACAGAAAGGAATGGTAGAAACATAAATCGTAGAAATGACATGAAACGTAAAGTTTCTACTACTTAAGGTCAAGAAACAAAATTGTATATATATGCATGTAAAAAAAATCACATAAGTCATTACTCAAAATTCAATCAACAACTTCATATTTAAAAGATATAAGTCACATAACTATATAAGACATAAGTCCAAAAACACAAAAAGAGTTTAGCAACTCCTATAACCAAGTTTCAAAGCATCAAAACAATAAAGTTTAACAACTCCTAAATGAAAATACAGTAGCCTACCACGAGGGTTTTTTTCTAGATAGCTAGAAAAAGATACTGTGCATTTGAGTTGGGGGAAATGAAAAAAGATTTTTTTTTTTATTTTTTTTTTTTAAAATAAAATAAAAACTAGGTCAAGGGTTAAAAATTGACCCGATTCAAATTTTTGATTTAAGTAAAAACGTAAAAACTTACGTTTATATCGTTTTTACATTTTTACACTAAGTTTTTACTAATTTTTGCCGATGAGAGTTTTCACTTGCGTTTTAACACGTATCACTTTAGTAAAAACGTAAATTAGAGTGATTTGGTGTATCTGTATAAAAATATTTTCTTTCAGTTTAGATGATGATGTAATCTAGTCTATTCCAGATGTACTATAGTGAACTTGATTTATTCTGTAATGCATAATTAGATTTACATGTATTTCTTTTATATATGTTGTTAATTTAAAATAAGATTTAAGAAGCAATGTGATATCCTCTATGTTAGCCAGTTATAGGGGATGTTAAATTTTGCCTCATGTTTAACTTACAAAATTGTTCACAAAACATGGTTGGAAAAATAACTCAGGAATGCTGAAGACATTAGAGATAATAATATTTGCTAGAAAGGAGACTTAATAAAATGGTCAAAATGACCAGTAGCTTGAAGAGATGTTTGAAATATTGCTTAATTAAGGAAGAAAAGGCTTCATTGTAATTAAAATCAGTAAAAATATAGCATACCAAAAAAAAAAAAAATCAGTAAAAATATTATGTCAAACAAATATAATTTTAAGAAATAGTATAATATAACATAATATATATGTCTTCACTTAATAAGCTAAACTCTGTGAGAGTTAGTTTCATGATATGGCATTAGAGCTTCCACGTTTCAAGAGTCTAGAGTTCAATTATTGGTATGGTGGGTGGGTAAATTGTCCACGCTTCAATTTTATAGGGTTCCTAAGGTGAGAGGATGTGTTAAAAAGTAATATAATATAAAATAATACATGTATATGTACCTACCCGCTTTCAAGTATTTATAAGAATTGATATCATGACAACATAAACTTGGGTGGTGTTTGGTTGTTGTTGTAGATTATGTATTTATACTATAAAAATATGCGTATGGTTTTAAGTTAAAATGATGATGGCTTCGCTCCATAGTCGTGGAGTGAGATATGATCAAATATGATTTGACATGTGTTCTAATATGTTGATTGAGAACAATATATAATATTATTAGTGGTTTGTGATTTAACTTGATCCTTTGCAAATTTTGTCAAAAAAGGAAGTAAATTTGTTGTTCCAAGTAATAAGGGGATGCAAAATTTGCAAATGAAATGTTAATTTTTTTTTAACACACCATTAGTTGTAACAAGCAAAGTAATAAGGGGCTACTGTATATAATTACAACAAACTTTGGGAGATGTAAAAGTAATTTAATCTCATTTTTATTAATTATTGATTAAGAAATTTGATACTTCTTAAATATAATTTGGGAAATGTTTGGTTTTTTTTTATTATGTTGCAGGGGAAATCATCTTAAAAAAACACTAATATTTTATTGATAAATCATTCTAAATATAAATAAACTAATTCAAATACATAACATGTGTCTGTTGATTATTTTTTTATTTTTTAAAATATTTATTTGTCAAAAAATTTTAATAAAGAATTTTTAATACAATTAAATTAATTAAACATATTGAGGTAAAAAAATTATCTCTAAAAAGAACCTTTAAAAAAATAATTATTTTCCAAAATAAAAACACTTTCCTATACATGTACTAAGAGGTTTCTCGGACAAATTACCCCATTTGTATTTAGATTATTATTATTTTTGGGACATGTATTTAGATTTTTTTATTTCCATTATATATATATATATATATATATATATATATAATAGTTTGTGTGACAATATTGTTTGACAAGAATGTTGACCAAAAGAAAATAAAATTAGAGTAAAATACTCATATTAACTCGACTCCTAATGGGTACTTTTTTAGTAGATTCCCCACGGATTAAATTTATTATTCTGGAACCCACCAATGCATTTAATTTTGAAAAAAAATTCTGAGGATTTTAATTCTTTTATCAAAACAATAAAAATAAAGGAAAAAGATTTAGACAATATATGATAAAACGGTTAAAGTTAGAATCTCACATATATTTAATGATTCACGCGATTAATAAATTAAACTCAAACGAAATAGAATGTTAATAATAAAAATAATAAGTTGATCCTTCTTCTCAATAAAATTATATAAAAATATAATTTAATGATAAACACATTTCAACGACAAAATACTTGTATTAATACAATTACAAAGAAGTCTTGAAATATTAATGGATTTTATGCCTCTCATCTAACATAAGAGTCTTTTTTACTCTCGTAGAGACACAAAAATCATGAGATCTATCAGAGTTAAAAAAGAGAAGGTGGCATAAGAGAAAAATTACTTCTCCGCAAGAGATTATGTGGTATGTTTGATCGTGTTCTGATTTTTTTATTTTTAAAATTATTTTACAGAATAATTATTGAAATAGATATTTTCTGTATTTTTTATTTTGAAAGTTAAAAATTAAAATATAAAACGAAAATAAAACGAAATATTCTCTAAATTTGATTTTAAAAATAAAAAATTACAATTTTTAATTTTTTTATACAAAACAAACTTTATCAAATAAGTTTCTTTTATTTTTTCATTCTAAAAATTAAGAAACCATTTATAGATTCAAACATCCCCTATATTATCTCAATATTAATTGGATCCAGATCGTCTCATGTAAAAAATTACATGATATGGTAAAGTGAAAAATCATAACCATACAAAGATAGATCAATGGTAATAAAAGAAGAGAAAAAAAAAATACTAAAATAAATAGTTACAAAATCATAACCATTGATTTAACTTTGTATGATTGTGATCTTTTCATATAACCATATCATGTTTTTGTTCTTACATCAAGAGGATCGATTTCCATATTAATTAGTTGTCAGTGACAAAAACCCGAAATCGGTTCGAACCAACAAGAAGACAAGAAGCCCCTCAACGGTTCTGGAAGAGATAGAATATTCTAGAAACCCATTGGCTTCAATAAAAACCCAAACCCTAACCATTATTACTGTTTCAGTGTTAACACTCCTTATCCACACACCAATAAGCTAAAATGGCTTCAGCAAACGCTCTCTCTTCAGCTTCCATTCTTCGTTCTTCAAAGCACCAGGTATCCATTATTCAACAAATGCAAATGTTAATTTTTCACAGCAAATAGTGAGATTCAATAGTTTTGGTTATTTCATTTCTGTGTTTTTGGCTTCAGAGTCTGAACAGAAAGGTGAACCACCAACACAGTGGGAGAGTTAATTACCGGAACAACCGGTTCACGGTGAAAGCCGCTGCTAAAGAGATTGCCTTTGACCAGAGTTCACGCGCCGCCATTCAAGCTGGCATTGATAAGCTCGCTGATGCTGTTGGGCTCACTCTGGGCCCAAGGGGTAAGCTTTTTTTTTTTTAATTGGGTTTTTTTCGATTATTTGTTTGTTTCTGCAATTTCGATTTAATCCATGTTGTATAATGTATGATACTAAGACATGAATAATGTTTGAAGGGAGGAATGTTGTGTTGGATGAGTTTGGAAATCCTAGAGTAGTTAATGATGGGGTTACGATTGCTCGTGCTATTGAACTTCCTGATGCAATGGAAAATGCTGGGGCAGCTCTTATTAGGGAGGTACTTGTGGTTATTTCAGTGTTGGTGATGAATATGTGTGTGTGTGTTGTGTGGAGTTTTTGTTTTTTTTGTATGCTGATGATGTATTGAATGAAAAAGGTTGCAAGTAAAACCAATGACTCTGCTGGTGATGGAACAACAACTGCTTCTGTTCTTGCTCGAGAAATAATTAAGCTTGGACTTCTTAGTGTGACTTCTGGTGCTAATCCTGTGTCAATCAAAAGAGGGATTGATAAAGCTGTTCAGGGTTTGGTACAGGAGCTTGAGAAGAGGGCTAGGCCTGTTAAGGGTGGAGAGGATATCAAAGGTGGTGTTTGTCTGCCATTTCTCTAAGATCGTTTGTTTTTCTTTACTGAGGTGTGATTTTTAGTTAGTTTTTTTGGTGTACTGTAACAGCTGTTGCTACTATTTCTGCTGGAAATGATGAGTTTATTGGAAAAATGATTGCTGAAGCAATTGACAAGGTTGGACCTGATGGTGTTTTATCCATTGAGTCTTCGTCCTCGTTTGAGACAACAGTTGAAGTTGAAGAAGGAATGGAGGTATGACTTCTCTGTTGGGTCTGCTAATTTCTTTTTTTATTTTTCTCTTCAGAATTGTGATAATGTAGAGAAAAAAGAGTTATGCAGTTTTTTATTATAATAATATAGCCTTGCTGTGTTGATATTTCTTCTTGTAACCTGTAGATTGACAGAGGGTACATCTCCCCTCAATTTGTTACGAACCCGGAGAAGTCGATTGTTGAATTTGAGAATGCAAGAGTCTTGGTTACTGATCAGAAGATTTCAGCTATAAAAGATATAATTCCTCTGTTGGAGAAAACCACTCAATTGAGAGCCCCCTTGCTTATCATTGCTGAGGATATCACTGGTGAGGCTTTGGCTACCCTTGTTGTGAATAAGCTGCGTGGTATCCTTAATGTTGCTGCCATCAAAGCTCCTGGATTTGGTGAGCGGCGAAAGGCCCTCCTTCAAGACATTGCTATATTGACAGGTATTGTGAGATTTTCATCTGTTCATGCTCTTAGTTGCATACTGGTTGCATGTTATATTTGTGGTGAAGTTTAAATGAAAATAATTTGTGTAATCTTAGTCATGTTAAAAGTAGGTTCAAAATTTAGTCTAGTTTATTTGAGGCAAAGTGAAGTCATTTGTTAAGTTACTCTTGAATTCTATACAATCGTTATGATGAAGAACCTGTCTGGCACATCTTTTTTTTAAGCTAAAAGTGACTTTTAAGTTGAAGTTAAAAAAAAAAAAAAGGAGCTTAAAAAGTAAAGCTAAAAGCTGTTTGATAATTGTATAAAATTGTTCTTAGGATTTTGAAGTTATTAGGGTAAATTATTAGGGTAAATGATAAAATTTATAAATAAAAGTTTAGAATAAGGGTATAATTGGAAAATAAATGTGAGAACTTCAAAATGTTGACATATATATTAAAAAAAGTTTCTCCTTGGGGCTTTTTGCTTTTTTCTTCATTATTAAAAAAAAGCTCTTTTTATGGTAAGAGCTTTTGTAAAATTATGTTTGGTTAAACTTCTGCTTATATAGAGAAGAGAAGTTAAAAATAAGAGCTCCCAAACAGGCACAAAATAGCACATCTGTCATAATTACGGCCAAGTATCTCTTTCTAAGTGGGGGATGTGTATTTGTAACGGAAATATCATCCTATAGATTATTTTGTTCCTTCATAATGTGCTTTGTTTGACAACTTTGTACCTTTAAAACTACTAGGTGCTGAGTTCCAAGCGAGTGATCTGGGACTCCTTGTTGAAAACACCTCAGTTGAGCAGCTTGGTTTGGCTCGGAAACTGACCATCTCCAAGGATTCTACCACTATTATTGCTGATGCTGCATCAAAGGATGAATTGCAAGCCAGGATTGCCCAGTTGAAGAAAGAGTTGTCAGAGACAGACTCAGTTTATGATTCGGAGAAACTAGCTGAGAGGATTGCTAAATTGTCTGGTGGAGTTGCAGTTATTAAGGTTGGTGCTGCTACAGAGACTGAACTTGAGGACCGTAAGCTCAGGATTGAGGATGCCAAGAATGCAACTTTTGCTGCCATTGAGGAAGGTATTGTTCCTGGTGGAGGTACTGCATTTGTTCATCTCTCCGCTCATGTCCCAGCAATCAAGGACAAGCTTGAAGATGCAGATGAGAGGCTAGGAGCCGACATTGTGCAAAGGGTGAGAATGCTGATAAATGTGCCCATATTGTAATGAGTATGGTATTTATATTATTTTCACAGCACAGATTACACAGTTATAATGACAGTCCAAATTAAACTATACATCATACATGTACATCCTACATAAATAACATCAGCAATTTCAGGGTGTAATCTCAATTTAGCATAACAATATATGCCTAGGTAAATTTTTAGAACCCCTAATATCTATTTTAGTATGATTCAAGCCCCCGTTACTAGAAGTTAAAGTACATTGGTACTCAAAATAAGAAAAAGCATATTTGTCTGCATGTACATAATTTGGTGCAAGGTATTATGGATCCTGATTTTTCTGTCTTTATTTATATGCAGGCACTTGTAGCACCTGCATCATTGATTGCTCAAAATGCTGGTGTAGAGGGTGAAGTTGTTGTGGAGAAAATAAGGAATGGTAAATGGGAGGTCGGTTACAATGCTATGACAGACAAGTATGAGAATTTAGTGGAGGCTGGAGTCATCGACCCTGCCAAGGTAACAAGGTGTGCTTTGCAGAATGCTGCATCAGTTGCTGGAATGGTCTTGACCACGCAGGCCATTGTGGTGGAAAAACCTAAGCCCAAGTCACCTGCGGCTGCTGCCCCACAAGGCCTTACTGTTTGATTTTTAGGTTTCTTTGTTGTAGGGTTACGGCAAAGAACATTTTTGTGTAGAAAATTGAAAGAGCGAGTGTTCCAATGTCTGTTAAATCTTGAAAACATAGTTTTAGATTTGTTTGGATTAACGGGAGGTGATAATCTTGGATCCTAATCCCTGTCTGTTTTATGATTTGAATTAAATAGTCTTTGGATATTTTTCCTCCATTTAAGTTTAATGCTCAAAATGGAGCAATAAATAGTGGTCCCAATAGAAGCAAAATATTTAGTATTCCTGTACTTAAAACTTGTGTACGAGTCTCACTTTTTTCTATACCTATTATAGAAACACTGGAGATATGCACTGATTAAGGGAGGAGTATTAATTGGTAATAGTCCTTGTTATTTTAAAGTCAATGGTGGTATGGGAAAAATATTATTCATATTATAATCGTTATGCAAAAATTAGCAATTGTGGCTACATAGTTAGCTGTGCTTTTAAGAAATTGCTGAAAGAATTTTGGTCCCTACGGTGCATTGCAATGTGTATTTGATAATTGATCGTTGGCTGGGCTGTTCCTGGAGAAGATTTAAAATGGGAAGTTATCACTATATTTCATATTATTTATTTATTTTTAACGACTAAAATTATCTATAAATTGCGGGAATTCCATCTTGGGAATTTTGGTAGAATTCTTGCCTCCATAGCAACAAGCTTCGTGCATAATGATGGGCTTGCAAGGGACCTTTAATGGGCCTTCTTGAATGGCTCTAATTATTCATACGCGATAGATGACTATACTTTTTTTTTAGTAGGCAAAATGACTATACTTCATAAACAAGTTGATTGAACAAACATTTGTTTAACATTATTTCACCTCTGAAGCGAAGATTTTTTGTATACAAATAATTAGGTAAAAGTTTTTAAGGTGAACTTTGGGGTGTATTTTATTTTTTAAATATAGTAATATTTCAATTCTTAAAACCAGTAAGCGATTAGATAGTCATTTGGTATTGGTAAAAAAAAAAAAACAGATGATGGTATTATAATCTTATTAATTATTTAAGGAAGTTTTAGTCATGCGTTAAATCTGATTGGGATGATGTTTTTAAAAATTACATTCTCTCTTCTAAAGTTTTTGTCCAAGTCAACTTTTTAAAATAAACTTTTAAAATTTCTCAATTTACTTACCTTAAGTTTTAGAACTACACTAATAGTAACTCCCCCTAAATATTTAAAAACAATGTGTAATAATTTTTTTTGTAGTTGCTTAAAACAAACTAATTTTAACATAGGTGATCATCTTCAACAGTTAAAATTTAATGTAAGAATTATAATTCTTAAACTGATATAAGTTATATATATATATTGGGGGGAGGGGGGATATACGTAATTTATTTTAATTGGTTTTTATGTAGAATCAAGTTCAAAATAATTTTATTTCTTAAATGTATATTAGATCTTTTAGATTATTTGATTATAGGACTAATCCTTTGATGTTGTTAACATATATTTTACCTATGAGTTTTCATTATGCACATTTGGCGATGGTTGAAGGCAACTTCTCCCTATGCTATGATGGTCAAGAGGGAATGGTGCATTTGCAATTTTGCATAGACTTTTATGTAATACCTTCAACACGAATATGATATATGTAGTTGTTTATGTCAAAACCTTCAAACACAAACACGTGTTTACTATAAGGGTTGATACGACACAAATATCATGTTAATTTTACTTTTCAAATAAAAATTACTTAAATGACCTAAAATTAATAAATAAAAAAATAATAAATGAAAATAAATATATAATTATTTAATTTAAATAGGTCGACATGAATTACATGTTAACACGAATATCCCTAGCTAACACATGAACATGATACCATTTTTTTTAGATTAACATAGGCACGAGCATGACACAAATACAAAAAAATATGCCATATTATTAAAAGTAACCACCCCTATTAAGGATAAAGATGTCCAAGGAAACTTCTCTCCTTATTAATAGGACTAGGCCCAATATTACCTCCAGAATAGATATTTTGAGATTGTTCTTCTCGTTTTCTTGTGCACTCACATTGACATTAAAGAGAATTAACGGTTGAGTTTAAGTTTACTTATTGCCTAAACAGTTGCATTAAAATTCTTAGTGCAATGTAAATTTTTTGTTTGTTTGAAATATATCTATATTTTTGAAATATGCAATGTACAAAATTTACAACTCAAAAACCTAGTTGATATAATTAAAATGACAAGGATCCTCCTATTCATTAAAGTGAATCCAAATTGAAATTCCAGAATCGTATCTTAATTTCGCATAATATATCATGAATTTCTATGAAATTGTTCCCATTATATGAAAAGAATTTTCCTACAAGAAATATAATTATGTAAAGAAGTTAATTTAGCAGTTAACAAAAACGAGTGGAAAAGGACTAAAACTAAACGTCCTTTTTACGATAATATCTTAATATGAATCGTACTTTTCTCATTTTTGCAGAGAATATAAGTCATCCCGCATTAATATTATGAGATATAGTTGACAAAGTATACATTATAACTGAAGATAAATCAGGAAAGCGGTTGAAAGCCAACCATCTACAAACCTATCTACACGTTGAATTTGGTGGTGTCACATTCGCCCAAGACAATCCGATTTTAACTTGGTTTACGATTTTAAATTTGGATAATCAACGTCTCATGTTGACGGAAAACCAATTTTCATTCCTGTAGAAACATCGAAAATGAGAATTATATTTATTTATTTTATTTGTGAGTAAATATCATTTTTGGTCCTCATCAAATTTCACGATGCCCGCATTAATTCTTAGCAAATGAAAAGGCTATTCGTGGTCCATAAAAATTTTAAAATGGACCAATTTAATTGAAATCGTGGTTCCTCACAAATTCAAAAAAGACCTACACTAGCTCCTAAAAAGGACTAAAACGAGTCTATTTTAAATTTTTTAAGGACCGCGAATAGCTTTTTTATTTGCTAGGAACTAAAGTGGACATCATAAAATTTGCTGAGGATCGAAAAAAGTATTTACTCTTAATTTTTTAATGGATCCCAAAAAATTTGATTCTTGTCTGCAACATCAGAGGTTGACTACCCTTTAATTTTTTTTTTTCCTATAAAAAATGATATGTACTCATAATATTATCTATTCTACTTAATGGATGGAGGTTGTTTCTTATTTCATTGAAAACTGTTTCCTTTCCTTTCTTTTTTATTTTTTCTTTTTTGATTCTTTTTATTTATGAAATATGTTATTTTATTTATTATAACATAATAACAAATATTTATAATTAAAGAAAGATCATATAATATATTTTGACTTACAATTACTTTCTTTATCATGGAATAAAAATTAAATTAATTATTCTAACTTGATGTTATTTTATAACTATTGATTTAAGTTTAATTTAAAAATAAAAAAAATAATTGAAAATGTAATTTCCCCCATTTATAATTATATAAATGAAAAATTAACATGGACTATCATGTTAGTACATGTCACTGGCAATCTCCTAGTGTATTTGTTACGCACATCTATTTTGGAAGAAAATATGTGTTGAGTTTAATTTAGAGAACTCTGCCTCAAACAAACAAACAAGTATACAAAATATTTCCTCTTCTATGATGATTTCATTCCATAGAATAATAGTTTAAATAGACCAAGAATGAAAAATATCAACAACTATCCATAATTCCTCTAACCACATACCACTAATAATCAAAATAACTACCCCTATCCCACTATCTAGGTAACTACCCTATATTGGATTAAGCAAAATTATAATAAAAGAAAATAATAATTCATCCGTAACATCTCTTAAAAATTACTTATCCTTAAGAGTTAGATCAAGTAATTGCATCTACTTCCAAATTCATGTTCGCATCTTCATCACTTCCATCCATCATGACATAGATTAAGAATAACTTCTTACATTCATGGCCTAGAGCATTAGTCTCAATATAGTGGAAACTCAATCTCTTTTGTCTTTGATTTTCTTCGAACACCAATAGGCGAATTGACTGTAGAGTATCCCAACGTGGGTTCAAGTAAAAATGGTTAATAAGATTGCATGATAAAGAGTTGGAAAACAATAATTTAGGTTTTTGAATGGAAGAGAGATGAGTTGGAGAGGGGTTTGCTTGTTTGGTGGAGAGAGAAATAGAAAAATGTTTGGGTCAGAAACTATTGGAGACTTATCAATAATGAAATTAGCGTGAGGTTGTGGTTTGATGGTTGGTACTATATGATCTAGTTGATTTGAGAGTTGCATCAACATTTCCTTCAATTGAGTACGAATCTTGTGAGAGGCTCACCCCAAAAATCAGCTCATAAGTTAAAAGAGTCCAAAATTCATATAAATCCTAGAACCTTATGTTTCTAATATGGTACTCCAAGTCTCATACATCGCAACCATGATCATAACAATATTTTTTTTTTTTTGGATAATAGTATCACAATTAAAAAAGTAACGTATTATTTTATAGCGCTTTACCTTTTTTATTTGCATCAATGCTTTCCCCTCTTGTACTTAATTGCAATGATAAGATAAAAAAAAAGAGAAATATTTCTACACCGTTGCTTTGGCCTAACGGACCCAGTTATTTTATTTTAGGCTTTTTTGTATTAATTTTGTTTTGCAATGAAAAACAAAAGAGAAAAAGAGAAAAAAGGCAATGAATTAACGAACAGAAAGAACCCCATCTCATGATTCTTAACAGCTACGAGATGTTGCTATAAGTCAGAAGGGGGAGACAAAAAAAAAAAAAACATGCAGTTGATTCACATCAAGCTTTGCAAGAAAATTAACGTATCCCTTTCCGTAAAGAATTCTGGTTTCCACTCTCTAATTAATGTTCATAGTTATTTTGCATATGCTCCTAAAGAATTCTCAAACGTTCCTAGAGTCAAGAAAACAAACTGATTCTTTAATTACGTGGATACACATCTCGATCGATAGCAACTCGATACAAATTCATTGTTAAGGACCAACAGCATCAAGAGAATCTGATTCAAAAATAGTGGTCTTCGAAAAAATAACGTCATGATGCAAAGCAAAATTGAGAGCAAAACAAATAGCTTGTCAGTAATTATGTTAAAGCACTCAATTTTTTGAAATTATATAATAGGAAAAAATTCAAAAAATCTCACGTGATTTGCTCTTTTATCACTTACCCCCTATTATTTTTTTCTTTTCACTTACCTTCT